GGGAAGCAGCGGGCAGTTTAGAAACGCCGATGCCTGGCCTCCTCCGGACCACCAGCTCAGGACCGCTGGGCCGGGGCCCTGGCCTGTACCTGCTGGGGGCTTCCCGGGCAACTGCGAGGGCCACTGCTGTGAGTCATCTGACCAGATGATCTTTAAGGCCCTTCGAGCTTTAATGTGTTATATAAACTGGAAAGTGGCCAGCGCTGAAGAGAAATCTGGTAGCAGGGTTAACCTGGGCTTAATGTTTTTGTCATTCTTTTGTGTCTCTTGGATGTAGGGATGGTGGCAGTGGTGACTTTCTGGAGGGGTGATGCCCTGAGTAGGACCGTCCCGGGCAAGCCCTCTTGTCAAGGCCCGATAAGGCAGTCGGTATTCCGGTCCTTTCTATTCCCCAAGGGGGGATTCTTTCCTCCTTTGCGTTTTTCATACTTTGCCCTGGAAAAGGCCCTGGAATGCCCCGTGTGTGCACGTGGGGTGTATGTGTGTGTGCACAGGGCGCAAACCCAGCCTGCGGGAATCCTCGGGCCGTTAGGGTTTGGGTGGTGCTCCACACCGCGTAGCCCCTGGGGAAGGGACCCTGTGGAATCAGCTGTGCCTGGAGATTCACTGAGAAACGGGGGGCTAGACCAGCAGCTGCAGGGGTGAGGCCACTGCCATCGCCTGGAGTGGAGCTTTGATCGAAAACAGGCCGGGGAGGGCACCCGTCAGCATCGATCGTGCCCCCTGTGTGCTGGGGCTGACGGAATGGGGCGGCCAGACAGAGCAGGTCCCTGCTGTCCCGGGGCACTCACTTCCCTCTCATCTCCGGCTTTTCCCTGGATAGCGAGGAGATGGGCACAGAGGCTGCTTGGAGCTGCGTGGTGGCCTAAGTCCGGTGGAGAGTGCACACCGGCGTTGGGGGACCAAGGAGGCGTCCTATCTTCTGTCTCCTGCCCCCTCGTTTCCATTGAGCCCCTTGTTCTCCGCTCCTGTCCGCGAACCGGGCTCCTTCCCCCTGCATTCTGGTGGCAGTGGGCTCACCTCGTGAGACTGCAGTCCTGTTAGCGGATGGCCTGTTTCTCAGGTGCAGGATAAGAGGCGTCGAAAGTGCCGGAAGCTCAGATAAGCGTGAGACAGTTGGCCTCTCGTTGACTTTTATGGCTCTTTGGTTATCTTGAAGCGTTGGGGAGGCCCCAAGGGAGGGTTTGCTCCCACGGAGAATTCTGGCCGGGCAGAAGCTGGGAGAGGCTGTCCTCTGGGTGACTGCAGAGCGGGTACCCTCAGCCTCATTTCCTGCCACGTCCTCCGCTTCCCTTGCCCGGGAGGTACTTTCCCCTGCGAGGCTTCGCAGGCAGATTGCAGCTCAGCCTTGCTGACCAGGTGACTTGGGGGGAGGTTCATTCTGAACCTCAGTTTCCTCATCTATAAAACGGTCGTGATGAGACATACACTTGTGCTCAAGGGGTCTCAAGCGTTCAACACAGCATGGGGTACGGCATAGGCACCAGCCAAGTGCAGGGCAGGGGGTGGGTGATTGTCTCCAGCCCAGCCTAGGAAGACCTGTACACCCAAAGGCACTGGCCTTTTCCCTCCCTTGGGGCTCCCAGTCGCTCTGCTTGCCTGAGCCGGGGAGGCAGCAGGGGTGGGCACGAAGGTGATTTCTCTCTGCTGGAAGATCCCCACTCCCAAGCCCAGGGGCACAGACTAGCTTCTCCAGTAGTGGAGGTGGCTTAGACCTGCACCGTCCTGTACAGTGGCCATTAGCCACGTGTGGCCATTTAGAATGAAATGATGTAGAATGAAATAAAATGAAAACTTAAGTTCGCTGTGTTTCGGTGATGCTCAGCCCGGAGGCTCGTATTTCAGCCACTCCCGGCTTTTAGTACGTCATGTATTATTTCCAGAGCCCTCCTAAAGCTGCCTGACCTCACCCAAAAATACCCACTGCCTTTTGATGTCACCTTCAGAGTTCACCCAGGGCCTCCTCGGGTGTTCTCTGGCTGAATCGCAGTGCAGCCTTGGGGCTGGCTGTTAGGATTTCTCTGGGACAGAGACTTGAACTTGCATAGGCCCAGTGCTCTTTCTCTCCTTCCTTTAAACATTTTTTTCAAATGTTTTTATTTATTTTTGAGACAGAGAGAGACAGAGCATGAGCACGGGAGGGGCAGAGAGAGAGAGAGGGAGACACAGAATCCGAAGCGGGCTCCGGGCTCCGAGCTGTCAGCACGGAGCCCGACGCGGGGCTCGAACCCGCGGACCGTGAGATCGTGACCTGAGCCGAAGTCGGACGCTCCACCGACTGAGCCACCCAGGCGCCCCGCTCTCCTTCCTTTTAAAAAGTCTGCACACTCAAGCCAGGCTCAGTGGCGTTATGACACAGCAAATATGTGATGTAGTTGAATATCTAAATGCCGCTTATCTACTTCCAAGTGGTCTGGTTGAAAGATGATAAAACTTTGTAGGCAGATGGGCTGGGCTGTAGATCCCAGCTCCCGCGGATGCACTGAGCGACTTTGGGCGAGTGAAATGGAGTCTTTGCGAGTCTGCGTCTCCACGTGCGGAATGAGGATCACAGAGCCTGCCTCGCCTGCGTTCTTGCGAAGTGGAATCGGAAAATACAAAGCAAACCGGGAAGCACGCAACAGGTGCTTCGTAATGGTCACCGCCTGCCGTGGTCAACATATCGAAGCAGAGAGAGTCTGTGGTTGGGCCACTTTTGAGCCAAATCGCCAAGCTGGCGTGGACGGGGGCTGGAACGGGTTTGGTGCCGTCCGAGCACCTGCAAGATGTCTCTGGGTTGAGGAGGTGGGGGGCGCAGGGAAAGGAAGGTGTCAGGGAAGGGAAGGTGGCTCCCGTCAGCCCAGCACCCCGTCCTGGTCTAGCCCAGCCCTGTCCCTCGCTGGCCCGTGGAAAGTGCTACCCTGGACTGAAATATGCCATCTTCCTCACCCCGGGGTGACACTGCTGACTTCTGGCCGTAAAACGTGAGCCAAGATTTGCTTCTCCAGGGCTGCCCGTCACCTAGACCTGCACTGTCCTGTACGCGGCCACCAGCCACGGGTGGCTGTTTAAAATTAAATTACTTGCCGTGAAACAGAACTAAAAATGAAGTCCCTTAGTCCCCTTAGCTCCAGTAATGAAGTTCCACTCATCACATTCCAAGCACCCAGCAGCGTGGCTCGCCGGACGGCACAGACAGAACATTAACAGCATCACAGCCATCCGTGCTCTCGTACCTGAGCCACAGGTGTAGGAGCCCACGCCGGGGCCAGGCAAGCTGGCTCCACGTCTGGCTCTGCCACTCGGGCAGGGTGACCGTGGCCAGGTTCCCCTGTGGGCCCAGCGCCCACAGGTGGATGCAGGATTCACCTCTTGGCTGCTCCTGGGAGGTGCTCCCTCCCCCTCTTCCTTCTCCTCCCCCCCACCCCTTCTGCTGCCTCCTCCCTCCCCTCCTCCTGCACTCTCCTGATGTATGCCTCCCCTCCTCCTCCCAGGGCTCTTGTGCGGGGACATTCCAGTCAATTCTTGGCAACCGTGGCTACTGTCTTGGACCGTTTCAGGTCCCTCTGGATCAGCAGGTGTGGCCTTTAGTTTTTTGAGGCTGGACTTAAAAAATAAATAAATAAATAAATAAACCAACATTCTTCCTGGAATAGTTTTAGATTTGTAGAAAAGTTGCAGGGGTAGCATACAGAGTTGGGTATACCCAACAGCCCGTTTTCCCTGTGGTTAACATCTTACACGACCACGGAACGTTTTCTTTTCTTTTCTTTTCTTTTCTTTTCTTTCCTTTCCTTTCCTTTCCTTTCCTTTCCTTTCCTTTCCTTTCCTTTCCTTTCCTTTCCTTTTCTCTTAACGTTTGTTTATTTTTGAGAGAGACACACACACAGGGTGTGAGTGGGGGAGGGTCAGAAAAAAGAGGGAGACACAGAATCCGAAGCAGGCTCCAGGCTCGGAGCTGTCAGCACAGAGCCCGACGCGGGGTTTGAACTCATGGACCCTGAGATCATGACCTGAGCCGAAGTCAGATGCTTAACCGACTGAGCCACCCAGCCTCCCCGACCACGGAACATTTCTTGGAAGTGAGAAGGCAGTGCGGGCACACGACCATTCACTGAACTCCAGGCTTTATCTGAGTCTCGCCAGGTTTTCTTCTCACACCCTTTTCTGTTCTGGGATGCCGTCCAGGCTCCCACGTTGTGCACGTACTTGTTGTATGTTTAGCCTGGTCTGTGACAGTTTCGTAGTCTTTCTTCCCTTGCTTTTCACGATCTTGGGAGTGTTGGGGAGTCATGGCCAGGGGTTTGTAGAATGCCTGGGTTTGTCTGGCGCTCTTCCTGCGATCAGACTGGGGCTACGGGCGTGGGGTTACAGTGCTGCAGAGGACAGACGGCTTCTCGTCACATCCCGTCGGGGTACACGGCGTCACGTGCGATGTCGCGGGAGATGTTCACTCAGCCTCTCGGTTGAGCTGGCATTCGCTGCCTGGCTAGTTTTCCCTCTGAGTGTCTGTGGCCGGGAAGCTGGCCTCCGGGTCCGGCCCATCCTCACGTCATGGGGGATGAAGTTCTGCGTCCCGTGCGTGGTTTTGTGAAGCTTTCCAAGACCTCGTTTCCCACAGAGGCAGGGGTCCCCCGACCCCAGCCCCCGTCTTGCCCAGAGGAGAATGGGCGACGGCCAGCCCACTGAGTCTGCCCCGGAAGAAAGACGGGTGCCCTTGCATCCAGGCACCTGGCCCTCAGCACTGGGGTCTTAGGGTGCTTTCCAAAGATGGGGAAACTGAGAGAGGGAGGGGCTTGTTCAAGGCCAGCCCAGCGGCGGCCTCCCCTGCTCTCCTGACTCACGGCTTTGGGGGCCAGGGGCTCCTGGGCTTCAGCCCCCCCGCCCCTGCACCTCACGCACCCTGCCGTCCTGGTGAGGGGCTACCAGAGGCTTCGAGGAGCTGGCCGGCCCGTCCCTCCCTGCTCAGCGGCACCGTCCCTGTCCCCGCTGGCTCCCTGACTCTGTTTCTTGGCCCGCAGGGTGCCACCGGTGGTGAGCAACGGGGATGCTGTGGGTGCTGCTCTCTCCGGGGTCCGGCGCTCCAGCTGGAAGCGGAAGAGCTCCCGCCGGAGTAAGTGCCCCCATCCCCCCCCCCCAAACCTCATCTTAGCTCAGGAAGGTGGTACCGTGATAACCTTAGAGCCCCTTGCTCAGGCCCAGAGGGCTGATGTGGGCTCCCCCGTGCCACAGGGGCGTCCTCACTGGGTGGGCTGCCGCAGGCTTGGTGGCACCTCTGAGGGGGACTGGCCGCTGCCCATGCCTGGGAGTTGCCCCCGTCTCCTGCCCGATGGGAGCCATGGTCCAGGAGTAGATCGTGTGTTTGACCGCTTATCTGTTCCCCCAAATACCCAGAAGCTCCTACAGCAGGGCGGATGGGCTGGCAGTGGGGTGCCCTGCTGCCCAAGACGAGGTCCCTCCCGGGAGCAGAAGCCACCAGGTAGGCAGGAGGGCACCTTGCAGAGGGCAAGGTGCCAGGAGGGGGAGGCGGGAGTGAGGAGAACCTGAGAGTCCTGAAGGCAGAGAGGCGGGAGCAGAGCTCAGGGAGAGAGCATCCAGGCAGGGTCCACCTGCGCAGGAGCCCCAGTCCCCCGCAGCCCCAGGGTGGAGGGGGGACAACGGCCTTGGTGTGATGGAGGGTAGCATCCAAGGGGTGATTGGGGCGAGGTGAGGCTGCATGTCCCCAGAAGGAGCTGGGGCCGTCCAGCCCTGCTTTTCCGAAGGCAACAGGAAACCACGAGAGGGGAGCCGGAGATGCTGTGGGGTGGGGGCAAAGCCATAAGACAGGGTGGGGTGCCTGCAGCCCAGTGGGGAGGCTGATGGCCAGAACTAGGGACCTGAAGAGAGGTGAGCAGGTCTCAGAGCCATGTGGGAAACAGAGTCCGTATGGGGGTGGAGGAGGGGGTCGAGGGTGAGGCTTGACCAGGCTCTGGGGGCCCTGGGGGCCCCGGGACAGCCAGAAGCATTGAAGTTAGGACCGTGGGGGATTTCAGAGCCCATCTGGTCCTGTGTCTTCTGCGAAGGGCGATGGGGCAAAGACAGGCTCCCATCAGGGTGGGGACTGGTTTTCCAAACCCTGGCTCTGTGGAGGGAGGCACACCCCTAAAGAGGGCAGAGGTTGGGCACACAGTTTCGAGGGAAGACCTCCTTTTTTTTAATGTTTATTTTTTGAGAGACAGAGAGAGACACAGTGCGAGCAGGGGAGGGGCAGAGAGAGAGGGAGACACAGAATCCGAAGCAGGCTCCCGGCTCCGAGCTGCCACCACAGAGCCCAGCGCGGGGCCCGAACTCACGAACAGTGAGATCGTGACCTGAGCCGAAGTCAGGGGCTTAACCTTAACCGACTGAGCCGCCCAGGCGCCCTGAGGGGAGACCTCCTTAATGTGTCCATCCGGGTAGCTGCTAACAGGGGCAGAGTGCGCGCCTGCCCTGCCCCCTTGCAGCCCAGCAAAATACTAGCAGAGGGATGTGTTTGTTCGCTGAATTCTTCAGCAGTCAGGATCCTGCTGGCTGAGTTTTGGGGGGGGCCTCTCCTTCACCCCACTCTCCAAATCCATCTCCCCTCCCCCCATTCCCTGTCCTCAGTAGGGCTGCTTTGCCCGGCCACCTCTGGGTGGGAGGTAGTTCCTTTAGGGTAAGTCCCGTAAGGGCTTCTGGGCCCCTGAAGATGTCCCCCCCCGGCCCCAGGGCACAGGCGCAGGGTCGGCTTCATGCTCCCTGCAGGTGCCGCGAGCAGCTGCGGCGTCAGCCAGATGGGCAGGCCTGTGGGTGGCAGGGAGGCAAGTGGGGGTCTGCCGGCTCGCCAGGAGGGTGCCTTGGGGCGGAGGGCGGGGAGAAGCAGCGGAAGCGTGTCCTCCGAGAGGAGAGCAGCCGGCAGGGGCTCCCCAGGGGCCGGGCCGCGCGGGCCCAGCCGTAGGGCTGCGGGGCGGCGGGAGGGAGCCGCCGGCTGGCGCAGTCCCGCTGGCAGCCCGGCAGCCGCCTCCGCCCCTAGCGCGCTTGTCCTCTCCCTTCGCTCCCAGTCGACCGATTCACTTTCCCCGCCCTGGAAGAAGATGTGATTTACGACGACGTGCCCTGCGAGAACCTGGATGCCCATCAACCCGGTACGCCTCTTCCGCGCTTCCGTGCCACCTTGGGGGACGGGCCAGGGGGCGGGGCCTGGGGAGGGTCGTCTTCTATTTGGCTCCCCACCCCACCCGGCCCTGGCCGCTGCCTCCAGCTTTCACCAACCTCAGGTCGTCCTGGGAGAGGATGGTGCCGGCTGGGGGCGTGGCCAGGCCGGGGCTGGGCGGTGTTGGGCTTCGCGGGCGGGGACCCCCGGCTGGCTGGCTGCTGGGACCCCCTGGCGGTGAGGCCGGACCTGGCATTTCACCTCCCCAAGCCTCCATTCCTGCCTTGGGAGAACGGGGTGGTATAGTCCGGGCTTCCCAGGGCTGCTGGGGAGAAGGGCAACTCCTTAAACCTGACCGCTGAGGCAGAGAGGGCTCCAGAAAGCCTGTGCCTTGCTTGCTCTGGGCCCAGGGAGGCGGGGGGTGGGGGTGGGGGGGGGGGGATTGGGGCTGTAGAGAGGAAGCAGGGTGGGGTGGGGGTAAGTCTGCCCCAGCTGCCCCCCCCCCAACCGCCCCCCAGCATACAGTCAGTCACCTAGCAGGAGAGAGCATCACTCAGATCCAGGGAGGAGGAATGGTTAGTAACTTCACAGTCAGAGCCGTCTTTGTCCAAACACATCGGGGTAGCGACTCTTCGTGTTTGATTTCCTGGAATCTGCTTAGAAACTTTGATTTGGGGTATCGTGGCCTCAGTGTCCAGACGAGGAAACTAAAGGCAGAGCTGGGATTTGAACCTGGTTATTCTGCCTCGGGTGGCATCTTATGACCGATGACGCACATCTGCTCCCACCGGTCTGTCAACCCCTTGAGGTCAGCAAGGCAGGCCCAGTGGCTCCCGGGGACAGTTGCATCTGAGAGGTTAAGACACCGCCTCCAGATCACACAGCCCGTGTTTGAGGGGCTTCTAGTCTGATAGGGGTGGCCAGCACCATCTTGGGCTGTGCGTAGTCCAATGGGGGAGACGCGCGGATAGCACTACAAGGCCCCAGGGCGCCCACAGCCATGCTCCCGACTCCTGTTCCAGGGGCAGGGACAGGTGGGCTGATGGTGTGCACATCCCTTTAGCAAGTCCCGGAGGTGCTCCTTTGAATCCAGGGAGAGGAGGGGGAAGGGCACGCTGTACTGGGAGGCAGTGGGGTCTTGCCGAAGGTCCTGAGTGGCTGCAGTCCATTGTTTAGCCCTGTTGGGCTGTCTTCCCGCCTGACTCAAATCAAGCAACACATTACTTGGCCCCAATCTTCACTGAACAGGGATCACTGACATGCCATCCTGCATTTGACCCCGATGTGGTTACAAGCAGGCAGCCTGGGAGTCAGCTCCTGAGCCTTCAAGTGGGGGACCGTGACACCCATCCGAGGGCCCCCACCCTCACGGCTTCGGGAGGGTGAGTCCCAGGAGGCTGTGGCTGGCCCTCAGTGGGGGGTCAGCTCAGGGCTGGCCCTCAGTAGGTGCACTGCACAAACGATGGTGCTGTCGTTACCACGTTTGCCAGGGCCCAGCACTGACCTTCACGGACCGATGTGGGCTCAGTGGGCACGGGAGAGGAGGCTGTCAGCTGAGCAGCAGGCCGCACACGCAGCCCTTGGTTCAAATCCCAGCTCTGCCGCTGATTAGGGCACAGAGCTCCGTGCCTTCGGGCCTTGGCTTCTTCATATGACATCAGAATATCATCCTGACCTCATGGACTGTCATTCTGAAGCTCTGGGGAGTGTCACATCAGAGAACCGCTTCCTATCTCTGGACCTCAGTTGACGCATCTGTAAATTTGGGACAGTCACAGCTGCATCCTGGGCTTGTGAGTTTGCCGTGAGGTAATTGACGCAGAGCACTGAGCCGGTGGTGGTCCGTGCTTTGCAGGCGGAAGCCGTTCGTGAAGCCCGAGGCCCCGGGAAGCGGAGGGTGGGAGCCAGGATCCCTGTGAGGCCCCTGAAGGCTGAGGCTTTGGCCCAGGCTCAGGACTCTGGTGGCACTGTCTCCACTGGAGAGAATATTTCTAAATGAGCCCAGGAGGTGGTCAGGTCAGCCGGCCTGATAGAAGGCAGCGTGGTGAGTGGAGGGAGCCTGAGTCTGCAGCAACTTCTCTCTGCCCTGTCTGACCTTGGACAAGCCACCTGTCTTCTCCAGGCCCCTGTTTTCTTGTGTGTCTAATGAGGCGGTGATTATTTGTCGCCCGCCGACCTTAGGGCTGCGGGAGAATCCAGCAAGAGAGGTGGCTCTCACTGAGGACGTAGGCGGGTGGGAGGCCGGGGCTCATGGAAGCGTGGGGAGGTGGGCATTCGAGATGCTGCCTGGGTTCTTCCTCAGAGGGAGCCCCAAGAACTGGGCTCTGCCCCTTTGCTCCCCGGTCATCGGGCCTCCGCTGCGGTAATAAGACCGTCGACCCAGTCTTGTAAAGGTCATAGCCTGGTTACCAGCTGCTCCTGTCCCTGGAGACGTTAGTCACTATTATCTTTTGCTTAAAAAATAACCTCACGCTCCCTCCTCATCCTGAGACCTGATCCCCCAGCTAAGCCTCAGTGTGTCTGTTCTTTGGGTGACAGTCTCCCAGACCCCACACTCCCCAGCTTTCCGGTAGAGGCTCTGGGGTCAGTGGGATGATTCCCGGGCCCACGCAGACACCCCCCCCCCCCCCCAAAGCAAGGATCAGCTGCTCTTTGCTGAGCGCCTGCCATGTGCTACACTCTTTGCTAGAGCTTTGGGTTCATATTTTATTTACTCGACCTTTTCTGGCTTGTTGTTGTTGACATTTTTGCAGAGAGGTCTCCGATAACCAAAGCTCCCTGTTCTGAGCTGATTTTTTAAAAAAACCCTTCCCAGTGCTGTATTTCTTGTGCGTTGACAAAGGCATTTTCATATTGGTGCGCTTTTTGGGGGTCTGGCCTCGGTGAGGCCTGCAGTTCGGTTCTCCCTCAGGTGACAGGCCAGGAAGTGCAGCCCAGAGGGGTGGGAGCGAAGGCCAAGGTCTCGGGATGGGAGAGTTGGGGTTACCTGGACAGCAGCTCTCCCACCTCAGCCTCAAAGCTGAGCATCTCACTCCGGATTTGACAGGGACCCTGGGAGTACCCAGGCCCCTGAGGGGACCTGTTTCTCCTGGCCAGTGGACTCTCAGCTCTTTGTCCCCCACTTCTCCAGTGGGGCTCTGGAAGACAAGGGAACACTCCTGGACGCTGGGCCTGGCGCGCCCCCTACTGGGCCATTCTGGACCTGCACGGGAAACTCAGATGGGGGAAACGCCAATTTAATGCTCCCGACAATTTCCATTTTGCGCGCCCCCCCCCCCCCCCCCCCGAGGATGCTGGGGCTGGAGCTGAGGGCCCGATTCAGGACTTGGTTCTAGGTCTTGTCTTTCCCACTGAAACATGCCCCGAGGCCCAGGATGAGCACTCAGATCCCAGAAGAGCAATACTGAGGCGCGGGGGGAGGGGGTTAAGGAGCCTGTTGCGTTCCTGACTCGTTTCTTGTGCCTCTCCGGTCTTTCTCGTCTCCTCCTCGCTTACCAGGTGGATGTTGTGTGGTCCTCACCCCTGCTCTGTGGACCGGGAAGTGGGGGCGGAGCCCCACCTGCCTGCCTGGGTCAGGAATCAGGTCTGGTGGCCTTGGCACCGGGGCCTCCCCTCACCAGCCCTGTTCCCTGGCCTGCAGGGGCGGAGAGGAGCCTGCTCTACGAGGATGTGCATCGGGACGGAGCGCCCAGGGAGCCCGAGGACCTAGGCTGGAGCTCCAGTGAGTTTGAGAGCTACAGTGAGGACTCGGGGGAGGAGGCCAAGCCAGAGGCCGAGCCCACCAAGCACCGAGTGTCCTTCCAGCCCAAGGTAAGGGGTGGGCACCTCCCACCCCGGCCAGGGCTCCAGGACCCCCTGGGGAGGGGGTGAGGAGGGTGGGAAGGGTTGGCCTCAGACTCGTGTCCTGTTAGGGAACCCCCCCGCCCCCAGGAATGTACAGTGAGAGGGGCGGTGGCCCGGGTACCCCAAGCATAGGAAGAGACCCCCCGGCATTGCTGTTTGTGCCCCAGTGTGGAGTCCCACGCAGGGCTCAGTCCCCCGACCGTGAGATCATGACCTGAGCTGAAATCAAGTCAGACACCCAACCTACTGAGCCCCTCCGAGGTCTTTTGAGATGCCATCCGTGCGTTGGTTTCTGCCTGGAACAGGGTTCATTCTGCTGGCTTCGTGGAAGGAGCCGGAAGCCGAGAGGAGGACGGACTGCTTCCTCCTGAGACAGACTGCTCCTCCCGTTTGTTCTACAGAAGCCAGCAGAAAGCAGATTCTACCCATGCTGAGATTTGGGGTTTAATGGGAACCACTCCTTACAGGCAGGCCCCGCCCGACCAGAGGTGACTGGGTCCCTCTCAGCCTCTTTGTGAAAAAACGCACATGACAGATACCCAAAGGTGGTGCAGGGAGAAGGTAGGGGCCCCAGGACTAGGCTGGGGTTATAGCACCCCATGTCTTTCCTAGTGCATCCTGTCCCTTTCGGAGTTTGAGGGTCCCCTCTGGGGGAAGGCTGCTGGCCAGAGTGGCACCCACGCCTATGAGTCCTCGAGGAGCCTGGGGGCGGAGCAGGTCTCTCTCGAATGTGGTCTTGTGGCCGGGCCTCCGTGGGCCGGGCCACGGAAGATGGCCTTGGTATCTCGCTAGGATGAAGTTAAGCATCTATGATACCTACCCTGTGCCCGGTCGTTTCTCAGGGTGCGGGCAGGGGGGAGCTCGAGGCCTGGGCCAGCCCTTGTTCTCAGCCTCTGGCTGTCCCTCCTGATCCCCCTGGGCCACTTTCCCAGGCCCCTGCCACACATTTCTCAGAGGGCAGGAGGTGTGGAGATGCTGAGTTTGGGCTTCCCAGTGCTGGTGCTCAGTCTTATATAAGCATCAGGACCACGAGGGGAGCTGATTGAAATCGCAGATGCCAGGGCCTCACTCCCAGGGACTCCGGCTCATGGTTTGGGGGTGGGGGGTGGGGCCCGGGAATTTTCCTTTTTTTTTTTTTCAAGTTTATTTATTTATTATTTTTTTTAATTTTTAAAAAATGTTTACTTTTTGAGAGAGAGAGAGAGAGAGAGAGAGAGAGACAGAGTGCAAGCAGGGGAGGTGCAGAGAGAGAGAGAGCGAGACACAGAATCCGAAGCAGGCTCCAGGCTCCGAGCTGTCAGCACAGAGCCCCACGTGGGACTCGAACCCACAAACTGTGAGATCGTGACCTGAGCTGAAGTCTTGCGCTCAGCCGACCGAGCCACCCAGGCGCCCCCTCCCTGGGCTGGCCCTCACCATGGCCGGGCCCCAGGGGAGGAGTCTCTGGTGGCCGACCATTAACGTTTGTCCCTCAGACCCTCAAGCGAGGGGCTTTGGACCCTTCCTCAGCAGACAAACAGAGTGGCAGAGTTCTTGGAATTTCTAACCGGGAGGACTTTTTGTCTGGCTGCGGGCCACGGCCTGCCTGTTCCCCAGACAGCAGGCCCCCAGGGAGGTGAGGGTTGTGGAGGGACCTTTCCTTTGGCACCTTGCCTGCTGTGCTCTGCCCTCCTGGGCCGCTTGGGGCCCACCTGCTTCCGTGCCTGGCACCGCCGTGGCTGAACGTTCTGGGGCCACCGCTGCTTGGCCGTGTCTTGTGTGTGCTGTGGGGCATGGGGCCACAGAGATCTGGTGGTGTTTTGCCCTGTCCTTGGAGTCTCACGGGGGCCTAGCTTCCTGTTCAGCTGCAAGCTGTCCCTGCTTCAGGTGTCTTAGAAGGCCAGCCCTCAGCGGGTGGATTTTTGCCAAAGAAAGTGACCGAGGGGTCTTCAGAGGGACCCCCTCAGAAGCACCTGACCCAGATGTAAGCAGGGGCCTGATCCCATTATGTTAATAAGTACCTGCTGATGGCCACCCATGGTCCTTGGGATTTTTTTTTTCTTTCTAACCAGTTGTGGATTGGGCTGCATTGGATTTTTCCTTTTCCTGACTGTGACCTTTTCATAATTAAGGTTACCATGATCCAGCTGGCCAGGGCACTGGGCAGAAACGCCAGCTCTGACCTCTGACCTCAGCCTTGCTCACTCCCCTGCTCAAATTGGACCAGTCTGCAATCGATCTCTGATCCGGGTTCTTCTAATCCTGAGAGAGGCAGAGGGGAAGTGCAAAACCAGGGGCTTTATGATTTTATTGTGTCAATTTACAGGTGAACCAGGGCTCAGGACAAACCCCAGCCTCTCTCCAGTTGTGGGGAGTCTGAGTAACTCTCAGAAGGATCCCTGTCCTGCGATTTCTTTCTTTTTTTTCTTTAAATTTTTTTAAACATTTATTTATTTTTGAGAGACAGAGAGAGACAGAGCACGAGCAGGGAAGGGGCAGAGAGAGAGGGAGACACAGAATCTGAAGCAGGCTCCAGGCTCTGAGCTGTCAGCACAGACCCCGATGCGGGACTCGAACTCACAGACCATGAGATCATGACCTGAGCCGAGTCGGACGCTTAACCGACTGAGCCACCCAGGTGCCCCCTGTCCTGCGATTTCTTTGCATTGACAATAGAGAGCCTCTGCATAGTGTGGTACAGTTTACAAAGTGGTTCCAGTGATTTTCCTGATACCCTAAAGTGGTTGGTGTTATTTGGATTAAGAGTCTCATGTTATTGATCAGAGACCCTAACACAGAAGTGTAGAGAGGCTAAATGATATGGTTAGGGTCACGCAGCCAGTAAGTGGTATACAACTCAACATCACACAAGATTTGAAAGAACATACATCGTTCTTCTGTCCATGCATCCATGCACCCATCTATTCATCCATCCAAGCATCCTTCCTTCTATCCTCCCTCCTTTCCTCCCTCCCTTCCATCCATCCATCCGTCCATCCATCCATCCATCCATCCACCCTACCAACTATCCACCCATTCAACAAATATTGAGCACTTATAATCTGAAAGATAGTGTAATACTAGCTTCCATGTTTTGAGCGCTTGCTAAGTCTTGGGGTCTACACGTATTTCCCATTCCATCTTCTCAGTAACTCCGTGAAGTGGTTATCATCCGGGCCGCTTTCCCAGTGAGGAAGGTGTCCCTCCGAGAGGTGAAGACACTATTCCAGCTAGTGAGCGGGGGGTGGCGACTTGAACCCAGGCCCGCCTGCCTCCAGCGCTCCTGCTCGTGGTCCCCTTCCTGGTCTACTCCGGAAGTAGTACCTTGTTGGGGTTCTGAATGCTTCACCGGATGTCAGTGTTGCTCATGCGTTTGAATGTCTGTGTTTGTCTCTCCATCCATCCGTCTTCCCAGGTGGCGTGTAAGCTAGTCAGCCACCCCTCCTTCCATCCAGACGCCCACCTGCCCTCCCTCCGTCCGTCCGTCCGTCCATCCGTCCGTCCCTTGCTCTGTTTGCCCACTCCTTCCTGCAGCGGCGTGCCAGAGTCCGCTCTTCCTAGCTCACGAGAACTAGGAACCAATTGCGCGCTCTTTCCGACTCCGCATTCAGCGACGTCACACTAGTGGCTTGAAATTTGCCACGGTGGCGTAGTGACATCATGGAAAGCCAACGAAGTAGGGGTCTATTTCCTGGAGAAGCGCGTGTTAAATATTTACCGGCACGACACTGCTTCCATCCGTCCCCTGGTCCCCCCGGGTTTTTATCCATCTTCTTGTCCGTCTGTCCGTCCATTTACCCAGATCTGCAGTCCTCCAGCCGAGTTTATCCATTTGCTCATCCAGCCATTTTTCTGTCTGTCCATCCAACCACTCATCCCTCTGTTTATAGTCCATCCGTCTGTCCAACCAGCTCTCTGTCCATTCACCCGTCTTCCTGTGCATTGGCCCACGCACCTGCCCATCCATCCATCTCCCAAACTTGCCAAGGACCTCCTGTGTCACCAGCCCCTCGCTGGCCCCTGGCACATGGGGGGATGCCTGAGACACAGTCCTTGTCCTCTAGGCACTGTTCCCCTTCTCTGAGCGGGGCCGGCTGGTCCCCTGCCCCTGGCCCCCCAGCAGCCAGGACTCCCAGCCCCCGCTGCCTGCGCGTTGGGGTGGGACGCTGCTGGAGCCGATCCCCGGCGGGAGCCATCCCCAGGCCCCACGTCCCACCTCACCTGGTCTCCTTTCTCCTCTGTTGTCCTGTCTGTGTCCTCCCGTCCCGCCTGCTCCTCGCACCTGCTCTCCTTCTGCCTGGCTGCTTGGGGGCTCCAGCTTTCTCCAGACCTGACTAGGCTAAAGGAGAGATACGCCAGGACTAAGAGAGACATCTTGGCTTTAAGAGCCGGGGGGAGAGACGTGCAGGCGCTGAAGCACAAGTACGACTGTAAGGTACTGTCTGTCTGTCCCCCGGCGGCCTGGCAGGGGCCCGCCCCGACGCCGGAGCCTGGCCGCCTCTCGCACCTGTGCCGGGACCGGTGGTGCCGGCACCTGCTCCTTTCCACGTTCTCGCCTCTCTCTCCGAGTGAAACAGCATTCCTGGGGGGTGGGCTGGGCTGGGCTGGGGCGGTCTGCAAACTCTGGGGTCCTCAGAATCACCTGGGTGCTTTGGAGAATGCAGATTCCTGGGCTGCACCCCCAGAGATGCTGATTCTGTAGGTCTGGACCGAGGCCCAGGAATCCGGGAATTTGGTAACTGTGGCGGTGGGTTTGGGTGACGCCTGGAGAGATGTGAGCCTTAGCGAGTGGTGCTGAACGTTCCTCCCGCCCTGAGCCGTTCAGAGAGATCCAGGGTAAGGAAGTCTGTAGGAGAAATCATAACACCTTGGTCTTAGATGAGACCCAGACTTCTGGATAACAATGACACCGACAGTAGGAACTTCTCTTAGTTGAGCACCTACCATGTGCTGTGGAGGCCTGCAGGCCTGGCTCTGAATCCCCGTCCCACCACTTCCTCTCTTTGTGATCCCGGGCAGGTCTCTTGACCTCTCTGAGCCTTGGTTTCCTCACCTGTGAAATGGGGGCATTAACAGTACCAGCCCCCTGATAGATGTAAAGATTAGGTGAGCTCAGATCTATAAGGTGCTCAGTGCTGTGCTTGGTGTGGCCTAAGAGCTCAGTGGGTGGTGGCCACTATTACTTACACACCTGACCGTTTTATCCCCAGGGCATCCGGGGAGGCAGCTGTCTTACTGCTGTCATTTAGCTGGCCGATGGTCACAGCGCTGGTCAGTGGCAGAGCCGGGATTCAAACCGGGGTCTGCTGTCCATCCTGTGCCACGTCCTGTTTCATCAGAACCTGAGGCCTCCCCGGAGGGGGCGGGGGAGGAGGAGGAGGAGGAGGCGGCGGGGGAGGGGAGGCACTTTATAGTTCCTATACACATGCCTTGGGGGGCCTGTGACCTGAGGGGGGCAGGTTTATCTTCTCAGAAGGCAAAGGCCCAGAGAGGAGAGGGAGCCTTGAAGGGAAGATTCTATGACCACTGTTCTTGCCCTGGCTGTGACCCTGGAATCAGACTCCTGGTCCAGCCCCTGCACTGTGGTTGATGGTGAGGATACCTTCCGGGATGTTCATTTGCTGCCCAGGAAAACAGCGAGAGAAGACCGCTTTGGGAGTTTGTAGGATAGCCGCCTGCCCCAGCTTTCTTCCGGGAAGGAACTGGGCTCAGAGCAGAGGTTTCCAATCTGGGGCTTGTGACCCCTCCCAACCCCCAGAGGAGGACGAGCATCTCTGTGTAGTTTCTGGGGTCGGACATCCGTGCTTCTCCTTAGATTATCACAGGTGTTTCTGACCCCCGAGCCCCACTCCTAGAAGCCAAGAATCACCACTGAAGAATTTTACCATTTCCATGCAGGGAGGCCCCAGGGGACTTCCCTTTCCTCCTGCGGGGGGTGTGTGTGTGGGGGGGGGGGGGGCGAGGGGTGTTTCCAGAAGTCAGCATTGTTCCTGAAAAGCCACCACCACCCCGTGCCCCAGGCCTCACGCCCAATGGGTTTTTGGCAAGGCCGGCTGCTCAGGGCCCTTCCACTGGGGACCAGGGGGTTTGCTTGGAGGAAGGTGACCTCCTCCTCCAGGGACCAGAGCCCCCCAGGGGAGTGCTCTCCGCCTTCAGCAGAGAGTTTCAGGAAGGAGAGAGTGTTCTAGAACTGCGCTGCCTATTATGATAGTCATGTGGTTCTTTACGTTTAAATCAGTTACAATTAAATATAACCGGGACTTCAGGTCCTTAGTGACAAGAGCCACTTTTCAGGTGGCCCAGGAGTTACTGGTGGCTGGTGGACCCCCTGTGGGCACACCGAGAGTCGGCATTTCCATCACTGAGAAAAGTTCTGTGGGATAGGGCTGACCGTGTGTCGGGGAAGATGCCAGGGCTGGGGGCTGGAGGGGCAGTGCAGGGATAACTTCCGGGACAGCGGCTCTGTTTGCGGGCCCCGGGCTCCCCCAGTGCTCAGCTCGCGGCTTCCCCCTCCTGGGCGCGGGTCCTCTCCCGCCTCACATCCTGCTTTGCCTGCCGCGAGGTGTGGTGGCCGCGGTCCGTCCCCACGCCGGGGAAGCTGTGCTCGGCTCCGTGGCAGCTCCGGCCTTCCCTCCCCTTCCCGGGCCTCGGCACAGTCAGAAACTTGGCTGCTTTGGGGGGCAAGGGACGGGGGCCTCACTTGGGTTTGGCAGATGGGGTGGGCGTGTGAACTCACTTCCTTCTGCTTGCCCCCAAAGTAACCGCTGCCGTTTGCGCGGATCATCTTACTGTCCAGCGTGCTTCCCTGGCCCCCGTTAGTCCTCATAGACCCTGGCACATCTCAGTGAGGAAACTGAGGCTCAGTGAGGCTAAGTGACTTGTCCCGAGAGGCGCGGCTGGGATTTGAACCCAGGCCTGGCGCTCCAGGCCTCGGGTCTTTCCCTGTGTCGCCTACCCGTGCACTTTGTCCCGAAGGGAGACGTCGGGTTAAGACCTCCTTTTGCCAGTAAACAGGGTTCCTCCGGGGTGATCTCCAGGGCACAAATGCCCCTTCTCACCCCTTCCTGGGATGCATTGGGCGGCGTTGCCTGGCGCTCCCCCTTGGCCTCTGCCACCCCGTCCCTGGGAGTGAACGGGCCCTGGGGTCATGATGTGCGCGGCCCCGGCTGGGAGGCCTGCGTGGGGCGGCGTGGCCCTTGGTGGCAGGCGTCCTGGGCTCTCCTTCGGCTTCTCTGATGAGCCCCTCTGCCTTTGCTCAGATGACCCAGCTCATGAAGGCTGCGAAGAGCGGGACCAGGGACGGGCTGGAGAAGACGAGGATGGCCGTCATGCGCAAAGTGTCCTTTCTGCACAGGAAGGACGTCCTCGGTGAGGCGCCGTGGGCCTGGCTGGCGGGAGGGTCAGGACTCGGCTCTGTGACAGCGGGGACGGTGGGCGAAGTCACTCGGGCTCTGGGCTCCTTCGGTGGTCGGAGTCCTCTCTGGCTGGTCCCAGTTAGTTTCTCACCCTCTGGCAGGTATGGTCTACCTCGTTTTGGGGGCCCTGGGGCCTCTCCCTTGGTCTGGGGCCCAGCGGCCCTGTCCTTGGTCTCTGTCCTGGCCGTCTGGGCCCCCCGCCTCTTATGCTGTGCAGCTTACCCGGCCTCACCTTTGGACGCTCCCACCCTTTCCTTTATCCGTCACCCATCGGCCCGGCAGCCGATACTTACTGAACACCCACTGAGAGCCGCACCCCGTGCCGGGTGCAGGGCCACCAAGGGGAACGAAGCAGCATTTCTTCCAGGAATATAAACAGGAAGTGACGGTCAGAGGCGGACAAGCAGTGGTGGGGAAACGTGGCAGGAGCAGGGAGGAGAGGACGCGGGTCAGTTAGGTAGCAGGGTGGGGGGGGGGGGTGTGAGTGAGGCAGGGAACAGGAGCGAGCGTGTGGAAAGGCCCAGGAGTGGGGAAGTAGGAGACATTCGAGAAAGGATTGTCGCGATCGTCCACATGTATCGGGGACTTACTGTGCGCGAGGCAGTCTCTTACGGTCTTTGTGGTTCCTTGCTCAATCCTCATCAACACCGGATGGTACGCAGGGCTGTCCTGTGTCCATCTGGAGACGAGCGAACAGGCACGGAGTGGCTCAGTGACTTGCCTGGGGACACACAGGGACAGAAAGGACAAAGCAGAGGCTTCATGTGGCTGGAGTGAGGGTCCAGGAGACCAGTGAGAGACGGGGGCCACACAGGCGTTCAGGCCAGGGAGGCCTTCGAGACTCTGTGCCCTCTTGAAAAGTTACGTGCTTTACCTTCTCTGTGCCTCAGTTTCCTCATCTGTGCAATGGGGCTGCTGCGGCATCTGCCTCAGGGGCCGGGGTGAGAGTGAGCGAGGCAGTGCGTGGAAAGAGGCCGGCACGGCTCCTGGCTCCTGTGTGGCAGGTGTAATTCTCAGTGGGCAGTCACTCAGTGGAGCCGTGTGCTGGTGGATGGCAGCTCTCTGGTCTGGCTTCAGATCCCGGCTCCCCGGCCCCCTGGCTGCAAGACCTTGCGTAGGCTTCTGCCCCTCTCAGAGCGGCAGGTTCCTCATCTGTGAAATAGGCTTATTACTCCAGCACTGCGTGAACTTGGCACAACCCTGAACCTTTGGGAGAGCCCCGGCCCCTGACCGGGGAGCGGATGGGCGGAGGGGTCCTCTCAGACTCGGTGGGGTGGCCTGGAGGGTGGACAGGGTGACAGGCCGGTTGGCCGCGAGCGGTCCCTGGTCACCCTCCCCACCCCCAGACTGGCCAGGCTGCCAGCCGGCTCTCCCTCGGCCCTCCCCCGCCCCGCCCGTCGGCCCAGAGCCTTCCCCAAAGTGACCCTCCCACCCGCGTGTTATTAATAGCCACGACAGGGCTCGGATCACTGGCCAAGAATGTTGCCCGGTGGCGCATGGGGGAAGAGGAAGCCGCGGGGCCGGCGGCTGGGGTGGGTGCGGAGTGATGCCCGGGGTACCATGTGGGCCAGGCAGGAGGGCCTTCACCACCCCCACCCCCACACTGTCGTCCGCTGTCCCTCCTCCTCCTCCTCTTCTGTCTCCTGTTCAGGTAAGGGCCCGCCCGGGTGTCCCTGCTCCCTCGGCCCCCTGCTCAGGGGTCGCCGCCCCTTCTTTCTGCTCAGCTTCCCCACGGCCACCCCCACTGGGTGTCAGAGTCCTGAGCAGCTAGGGTCCCATCTCCCTGTGCCTGTGCCTCTCTTGTGGGGGCAGAACCATCCAAAGCCAGGTCCCTACACTCTGCCTGATCTCTCTCTCTCTCTCTCTCTCTCTCTCTCTCTCTCTCTCTGCCTGATTCTTGGCCTGTCTCCTGCTCTCTGTCCGAGAGCTGCCTCCACTCGGGTCTGCATCGCCCAGTTGAACTTTTTCCCTTTGGGTCTGTCTGCATTAGTTGTGATGAAAACTTGAAAACGCACAGCCAAAGAGCCCCATTCTTCTTGGGGCTTACTTTCTTCCCCCTTTTGGGCATCCAGAAGAAAACTATTTTTAGTGCATAGTGATGGAGACACGGGCGGCCTGGCTTACTCCGGGCCAGGAGTGGGCGGGTCTGAGCAGGGACAGGGACTCTGGCAGAGCTGATCGGGCGAGCTGGAGGCCCCGGACGTGCTGCTCTGTGGCCCCTTGCTCGTTCCCATTAGTTTATGGACCGACCGATCTAGCAGAGCACAGCAGTGAGTGCAGCTTGTGGGCTCTGACCCTGTGCGGCCCCAGGACCCTGGCCCAGGGTGGTTCCCAACTCCTGGGGGGCTGAACAGTCTAGGTCATCCTCGCTTGCGTGTGTCACCAGCCCATCTGACTTTGCAGGTGACTCGGAGGAGGAGGACATGGGACTCCTGGAGGTCAGCGTTACGGACATCAAGCCCCCGGCCCCGGAGCTGGGCCCCATGCCAGATGGCCTGAGCCCTCAGCAGGTCTGTGGGTAGGGTGGGGTGCCGGGGGTCTTTGGGGGCAAAAGGGGTGGTTGGGGACCCCGCGGGTCTGGGTCTTGAAGGGGAAGGGGTGAGCGGGGCCTCCTGGCCGAGCCTCAGCTCATTCTCTCCTCACCTGCTGCGCAGACTTCCAGATTGGGCCCAGCAGGTCCCATGCCGTTGTCCCGGGGTGGGGACGGGGGGGCCGGCATTCAGAGCCTTTTCTTCCCACACCCAGGGTGACGAGAGCAGCTCCTGCTTAATCATTTCACACGGGAGATGTCGTTTGCAGGGAAGACCACAGTGACAGAAGGGTTGGAAAGCATTGGGCTATTCCAACTTGGGAGACTACGGAGGGGCCAGCCCACCCTCTCTCTCTGGGCTTCTCCCAGGCGCCGGGGGTCTTTGGGCCATGCCTCCCCGCCCCTGAAGTGTCACATGGGACCAGGACCCGGGGGCTTTGCTCCGGGCCTCAGGCACAGGCATGTTGCCATGAGGCATGAAACGGGGGGGCGGGGGGTGGGGGGTGGGGGGAGACCCCCGCCTTCCCCCGTTGTGGGGACACTGAGCGAGTCGCGTTGGGGCAGCAGGTGCGAAAAAGGATTTGCCCCTCTTTTGGCTGGCAGAGGAGATGCTTGGCCTCTTTTGAAAACCAGGGTGAGGAGATGTGGTGGCCACACCTCACGTCTCAGGACGTGAGTCCGTCCGCCTGCTTCCTTCTTTTCTGTTACCCGCCTGGACCCCCCTGCACTGAAGTGGTGACCCCCTGCCCGAGCGCAGCGAGTCCCTGTCAGAGCCAGGTGCGAGCCCAGGCTTCCGGCTCACAGTCCGGGCTGCTCCTGCTGGCATTGGCCGCGTCTCTCTCCTCCGGAGCCTCTTGTGTTTCCCGGTCAGGCAATATGAGTTACTTTGGGCCAGTGGATCTCAGCCGAGGTGATTTTACCCTCCAGGGGCATTTGGCCGTGTCTGGTGATGTTTGTGGTTGTCGCAACTGGAGGTCCTCCTGGAATCTAGTGGGCGGGGGCCAGGGATGCTGCTGAATGTCCTACAGTGCACAGGACAGTCCCTGACACACAAGAGTCACCCGGCCCCCAGTGTCTACGTGCTGTGGTCAAGAATTCTGCTCTGGGAACAGCTTGCGCACCTGGGGATCGGTGACCGTGACAGTGCATCTGGCTGTGGGGTGGCCTGAAGGACAGTGGGCCTGGCCCATCCTGCGGCCCTGGGGCTGTGCGGGCCGTAGTCAGGCCTGGGTCCCAGGCGGGGCCGTGGGAATCGCTGACAGAGGTGTGCTAGGCGGGAAGGAGGTGTCCAGACGGGCAGGGGGAGATGGTAGTGGCTGGATCGATGCCCAGGACGGCTGTGGGGGTACAGTGGAATTACCTGGGATGCTCTCACCACCCCCTCCCCCCGGCCCCGCCCATACCCAGGTAGTGCCCTATACCGACTCAGTCGGAATGTCTGGGGAAGCAGCTAGGTGACAGTATTTTAAAGACGCCCATGTGATTCTACTGTGCAGCAGGGTTTGCTTATGCACCTGCTCCCTCTGTGCTGCTGGACCCAGGCGAGGGCTCCCAGCCTCTTGCTGGCCAGGCTGCACCTGAGGGGTGTGTTGATGTGGGCCGAGGAGAGAAGGGGCCAGCGAGAGGGGGGCTGGGAGGGACTGGGCTGTTTGGCCTGCGGTGGAGCTCACCCTGTGGGGTGGAGAGTACCCTGAGGGATTCCCGTCTGAGGGAGGGGGGTTGGTTAAGGGGTTGGAGCTACGAGGGGTGGGAGCTGAGATCTCTGTTCCGTCCAAGAAAGAATTTTCTCCCCCATTTGTCCCAGGATGTGGGAGGCCACCTGACCCCTTGGAGGAGGGGTGGTGACTCCCTATGCCTGGATGTACGCGAGGAGCGGCCTGGCGGGGGCCTCGAGCCCAGCACCCCACACCCCCCATCTGTAGGCGGGGCTCTGGAGGGCAATGCTGGCCTGCGGGCCCCGGTGGTCCCAGGAGCGGGCTCTGGGAGGGACGAGTCCCTTCCGTCCTGCAGCCCCTCAGCTCTTCTGGTACCAGGACTCCTTATCGGCCCCCCGGGGCCTCTGCACACATTGGGTGCTCCCTCTGTGCTATGGCGGGTGCGGCCACTGACTGTGTTTTCTGGCCCGGGCAGGTGGTCCGGAGGCACATCCTGGGCTCCATCGTGCAGAGTGAAGGTAGCTACGTGGAGTCTTTGAAGCGGGTACTCCAGGTACGACTCCGGGGGCCTCTGGGGACACTTTGTAAGGAGGGTTCGTAGGGAGGTTATGGGCAGTTTTAAGGGGAAGGGGCCACAGGCCAGCACTTTTATGGGGACAGCAAGCGTTCCTGATGCCTGGGAGTTGGCAGGAAGACTGCATTTCTGAACCAGAGTCGCGGGTCTGTGAAGTGAGGTGTGCCCTCTAGAGTAGAGGGCGTGTGGACCCTTCTGTGCCTGGAAGGGACCGTGCTTTCCTCACCAGTCCGGGAGCCCCGGGCCAGGGGCCACGTCTCCCATCATCTGGGATCATCCTGGGCCCCACCCCACCCCCGCCCGAGGCTGGAGTGGCTGCACCCCCTCGTGCTCTGTCAGTGCTCATGTGACTGGAGTAACCCTGCCGCCCCAGTCTGTCATCTGCACTCCTGAAGGGGTGACTCCTCTGGGGGTGCTGTGACTCCAAGACAGGCAGCGGGGAAGGGAATTGTTGGGGGTTGTGGGGTGTCGATGACACCGTCCTCTTGCCCCTCCTGAGTTCGGAGCCACACAAGGGCAGCCCGGGCGGCAGGCAGGGAGAGATGACAATATCACCGTGTTCCTGATGGCTGGTGGGGGTGTGGCTCTAGGGCTGGGGTCCAGGGGACTTGCCAGGGGGGCATCGCCGCCACCATTCCATTCGACACGCGGGCTCAGTCACGGGCAGAGCTGCCCAGGGCCGGCCTGGGCCTCGGGGCCTGCCTCCACGGGGCTGTTTGCAGGCAGCCTCTTCCCCCAGTCCAGCGTGACACCTAAGTCACGGGGGTGGGTTGTGGGTGGGCAAAGAGGGGCCAGGAGTGTTACATTCATGGAGACCCTTCCCAAAGGACAGTGAGGAGTGAGGGATAAGTGCCCTCCCACCTCCTGCCTCCGGGAAGGTCCACACATGGCCTGCTGAGTTCTGATTGGCAGGGCAACTGGGTGGGAGGGGCTGTGGCCTGGCCCTGGGGTGCTCACCCCGCTGCCCGCCCCCCCCCCCGCCCCGCAGGATTACCGCAACCCCCTGATGGAGATGGAACCCAAGGTGCTGAGCGCCCGTAAGTGCCAGGTGGTGTTCTTCCGCGTGAAGGAGATCCTACACTGCCACTCCATGTTCCAGATAGCCCTGTCCTCCCGGGTGGCCGAGTGGGACTCCACCGAGAAGATTGGGGACCTCTTCGTGGCTTCAGTAGGTATCCCAGACTATCTTTCCCCGGCCCCCACCAAGGTGAACACCGCAGCCCTGACCCGGATGTCATCCGGGCCAGCCTCCTGCCTCCACCTGGTCACCTGTCCAAGCCGGCAGGGTCAGGGGGAAGCAGGGCCTGAGTCTGCCTGGCCCAAGCTGGGGTGCACACGACAGCTTCTAGTGGGTCCTTGGAGATGTCTGTGGGCAGGGTGCTGGGGAAGCCAGCTCACTGTTCTGGCCCTGCTGGGGTGGCTGGTCTGAGTACTCATAGGGTGCTCACCCTGCTGGTCTGAGTACCCACAGGGTGCTCACCCGGCTGGTCCGAGTACCCGCAGGGTGCTCACTGGGCTGGTCTGAGTACCCGCAGGTTGCTCACCATATGAGATGCTTTCGCATCCCATGGCCTTGGCCCCCAGAGGACTCTATGCTACAGGGCAAGGGGCAGGTGCACTGGCTTGCTCTCCAGGAGGCCCGGCTGGGTCCCAGCTCAGTTTTGTAACCTTGGCCAGCTCTAGGGCTCTCTCAGGGCTCAGGCCCCCCGTCTGAGGGGGGACTCTTGGTTTTTCAAACTGCAGTCTGTGAACCCCAAAGAGATTTGTGGGGGGTGGGCGCATCAAGTCAGTGGATCTGTTTTAGATCACTGGGTTCTGCTAAAAGGAAAAAATATATATGGTTTTGCAAACCCCAGCATTCAATAGATCTGATATCCTGGTCGGTGTGGACAAGGACCTGGGGTCAGGAGTGCTGTCCTCGGGGCTGGAGGCCCAGGGCATTTTACTTCCTGGGGTGGTGAGGAAATGCAAAAAGGGGCATCGTGGCTGCCCCCACCTCTGTCCCTTCTCCCCTCGCCTTCCCGGGTCACCCTGCTGGGAGAGGAGGAGGGTCCCTGGTCTCTCCTTAGCACCGCCCCTCCCTCCCTGGACCGTGGGCATCTCTCCACCCCTCGGAGCCTGGGTTCGTCCCCTCATCAGGGCGACAGGTCTCCTGACCACAGGGCTGGTTGCGAGCCTCCGGGTACCTGGCACCGAGAGCAGGGGTGCCGCCTGCCCTTCCACTCACGTCACAGTGACCCTCCCTCCCTGCCTCCATGCCCATCCCAGTTCTCCAAGTCCATGGTGCTAGACGTCTACAGTGACTATGTGAACAACTTCACCAACGCCATGTCCATCATCAAGAAGGCCTGTCTCACCAAGCCTGCCTTCCTCGAGTTCCTCAAGGTGGGCCCCTCTCACGGGTTTCTCAGGAGGGAGAGGGCCCTGCGGCCCAGCTTCGGGTGTCACATCATCGCTGTGGCCTGGATGCCACCCCCCTTTCCTTTGGGACATCCCCCGTCCTGGGGGGAGAGGATCGGTCCCTCTTGCCCCCCAAGAGGAGGGTGATGACGAGGTGGACAGATCCGTAAGCAGCCTGGGAATCTGGAGGTTTGTCAGGTGGAACAGGAGGCCAGCGGCCTGTCTCGGATGGGCGGGTCCGTTGGGGGGGGACCTGGCCCTGTTGGGGCTGTGCTCCTCCGTCGGGCTTGGCTCGGGCTTGGCTCGGGTGGGGCTTCAGGTTGTGGCTGGGTCCTCGCCGCGGGAGGTCAGCGGATGGCTCCGCCCCTTCTCCAACAGCGTCGGCAGGTATGCAGCCCTGACCGCGTCACGCTCTACGGGCTGATGGTGAAGCCGATCCAGAGGTTCCCGCAGTTCATCCTCCTGCTTCAGGTACCGTGCGGGGTTCGGGCTGCCACGGACCTGCAGGGTGCGGGGGCAGGAGCCCAGGCGACTGGAAGGGAGTGACAGCCTGTGGCCTCCCGGGGCCTGAGGGGTCCCGGCAGTGGGGAGTTGCTCAGTCAGCTGGCTTTGGCCACGTCAGGCTTCCAGAGGGAGCGCTGGTCCCCACGCAGGGCTCCCGGAGCTCGGAACCCCTCCCCTGATCACCCAGGGCCCTTAGTTGGGGTGAGCCGTCACCGCCAGGCTTGGCGGGGTGGGGGGGGGGGCGTCACCAGGCCGAGGGCCGCCCCAGCACTTTCTTCTCTGTCCTCAGAGCTTCCAGCTGAAGGAGGGAGCTCTCATCTCAGGACACTGCTGATCAGTGAATTAGGGATTGATCCAGAGATTTATTTTATTTTTCTGTTCATTAGCTATTTCTGGAGGCCTTACTCCATGTTCGATACCATCTGTCCTGGCCGAAAGCTGGGCACCTTCAGATCGGGTCTCTGCAGGAGGTGGGAGGGTGAGGCCTTGACCCCAGGCCAGGGGAGGAGGGTCTGCCGGCGTGCGGTTCTCATTCCCGGCTCTCTCGGGGTCCTGGCAGGACATGCTGAAGAACACCCCCAGGGGCCACCCGGACAGGCTATCCCTGCAGCTCGCCCTCACGGAGCTGGAGACGCTGGCCGAGAAGCTCAACGAGCAGAAGCGGCTGGCCGACCAGGTGGCCGAGATCCAACAGCTGACCAAGAGCGTCAGTGACCGCAGCAGCCTCAACAAGGTGAGTGCCAGGGTCCCCCCTCCCCCCCCACCTGCGCGCCTTTACCTGTTCTGCAGCCTTTATCACCTGTCACTCTGCCTCCTCCCCTCGGCCACCCACTAGATGGCAGTGTTCTCCGAGGGAGGGATTCCTGGCTCCCCTCTGAGCCCCGCAGACCTAACCCTGAGGATTGGGGTCTTGACCGCCTCCTCCCCATTCATTACCATTCATGTTATTTTAGGATAAAAGCCGATTTTGTCCACCAGTGTCATTGCCAGGAAAGACACCAGAAATGAGAGTCTAGCATCGTGCTTGACACAAGTAGGCTCTGGAGTCAAGAGTCTGGGTTTGAATCCAGACTTCGCCAGTGGTGCTCACTGTGTGGCCTCAGGAGAATCACCCAACCTCTCTGAACCTCACTTGCTCCCTCTGAAATGAGGAGAACTCAGTGGGGCCTGACCCCAGGGCTGCCGTGAGGCAAACGGAGGCGTCGGCAAAGCAGCAGACCCAGAGTTCTTAATACAAGGTGGCTGTTGTCATTATTAGTGTTTTATTTATTTATTTATTTATTTATTTATTTATTTATTTATATGTTTATTTATTTAATTTGAGAGAGGGGGAAGAGGGGCAGAGAGAGAGAGAGAGAGGGAGAGGGAAAGAAAAAGAATCCCAAACAGGGACGTCAGGCTTGATCCTATAACCCTGGAATAGTGACCTGAGCCAAAATCAAGAGTTGGACACTTAATCAATTGAGCCAGCCAGGTACTCCTAGTGTTATTATTAAAAAAAAATTTTTTTTAATGTTTTATTTTTGAGAGAGAGAGAGAGAGAGAGAGACAGAGTGCGAGCAGGAGAGGGTCAGAGAGAGAGGGAGACACAGAATCCGAAGCAGGCTCCAGGCTCCGAGCTGTCAGCACAGAGCCTGACCAGCTCTCGAACCCACGTATCGTGAGATCATGACCTGAGCCAAAGTGGGACACTCAACCGACTGAGCCACCCAGGCGCTCCGCCCCTGGTGTTATTTTTAAAGAAGAAAGATGAGAAATTCAGGCCATGGTTTGGGACTGTGACTCAGGAACATTCTAGTAAAAACAACAAAACAAAAAATCCCCCAAAACCTTGGAAAAGTTTCAAATGAGTCTGTAGAGAACCTTGTTTTCAACATGAAAAGCCAGCACAAAAAACTGGAGTCCCCTAGAGTCACCTGTTGGTGCGCGTGACATGAGCAGCTCAAAGCCGCACCTAGATCTGGGAGGCCCTGCCCCCTGGGCCCCACCTTCCTTTCTCCCACTGGAGGGCAGAGGTTGGTGGGGATGGCTCAGAGTGGGGTGACCCCCATGTCAGGGGACATAGGCAAGGACAGTGGCTGTTCTTTGGGGCAGAGACATTGTATGAGGTCATCATAGGAGGCGTTCAGATCTTTTGGGGCAAGACTGGGAGCCTCCTGGCTCTGTGGGCCCTGAAAGCAGAAGTAAGGCTAGTGACTAAGGCCAGTGAGATTTCAGCCACATGGGGTGGAACTTTCTGAGAGCACAGGAATTCTTGCCAGATGGCCAACAGCCCTTTCCAGGCGGACTGCCCTTTACAGTATATGATACTAACTTACACCATCGTCTTTGATCTTCACCATGAGCCTGGAAACCCGGGCGAGGTAGCCTGTGGGGTTCCTTGCAGTTCTAGGCATCAGAGGTCCCACCTCTTAAGACTCTCCCTCCTCAGGCCAAATTCAGGCCGTACACATGCTTTTAGGCCCACGTAGTATTTTCAAGAAGGCGGAATCGGTTGCCATCATTCAAAAATGGAAGGATGTCCCAGAAAGTCCAGACTTGTAGGTCTTGAGGGGCTGGAAGAGCTGGCACATTGGCCCGCCTTCCTGCCAGGAAGGTCACCTGAGTAGTGGCTGCCCCCGCAGTCCCCAGTCTGTCCCCGCCTCCAGGCAGGCCTCCCTAACCTGCCCCACACCAGCTTTCTGTTTCAGGACGTCTCTTGAAAAACAGGCTTCAGGCCAGCCCTGGCACCTGCTCTGCACTTGGGAGGGGTCTTCTCCTGTCCCCTCCTTTGGCCCCCTTGTCTGTAACCAAGGGGTTTCTGTTGCTCGCACACCTGTGCACCTGTCGGGGGCGGGGGGGGGTGGTGCGAGGAGAGCTGGCTGGGCAGGAGGAAATCCCTCTCTTCGGCATCACTGTTCTCTTCAGCTCTGTCCCCAATGGGACCCAGGCAATAAGGGGCCAGGGTCACTGGCTGGAGGTCGGGAAGACCTGTTTGGTGTTGGACAAGGAACAGAAGCCTCTGAGCCTCAGTTTCTCTACCTGTCAAGTGGGGGCATTTTTGAGACGTGTGGGACGTGGTGGCGGTGTGGTGGCCACGCACCGCGCCTGCCTCGAGCTAGCCCCCTCCCCCCCCCCCCCCCCGCCCCACCTTGGACAATCTCAGCCAGTTCTGAGACCAGTCCGGTGATTTTCCTCTTGCCATCCATCCCCTGGGGAAAAGCGGAATTGAAACTGGGCGCGCCCCAAACGGAACCCTGCCGGCTATTTCAAAATGTGCCTGCTCAGGACCCTCCAGAGGGGGGTTTGTGCAACATCCACCCTTCTTTTCCTTTCATCTGCCTGGGGGGCAGGGGCGTGGTTTCCAGAAGCCCAGGGGACTTTCCTTCCAAGGTTCGGGTCGTGGCGCTCTTGGCAACCTTCTGGGGGGCCTGCTGTCCTCGGGCTTCCAGTCTTGTTTCCATGTGCTGGCGGCAGCTTGACGGAGGAGGTAGTGACCCAGGGGAGCCCAGCCTTAGCCGTTTCGCGGGGACTCCCGAGAGACCCCCGAGTCCCTTTTGTGTTACGAGCGGTGGGGCCTCCCCACTGTCGCACCCAGCGCTGCCCAGGCTGGGGATGGCTTCCTCCTTTGGGGACGGGGATGGCCTCAGGGGCTGCGGAGCCCGTGAAACAGGAAGTGGGAGACTTAGGGCCACGTGCAGTGCCCAACACGCAAAGGGCATTGGTGCCGTTCAGGCTTTGGCGTTGATCGGAAAACATGGTTCTGTGGAGAACGACAGGCTGTTCTCTCCGGGGGGGCGGGGAGGCTTTGGGTGATCTGCCCTTTCCCAGCAGGGGTGAGGAGAGAGGGGAGGATGACTCTTGTCATCGGAGTCATGGGTTTTGGGAATGAATTTTGCTGAATACTCTCCTTCTCTCTGGGAAAAAAAAAAAAAAAAAATCCTTGTCAGTAAAAAGATGTTTTCCCGGTGGGTCCCTGGGCAGGACGGTGGTCCCGGTGCGGGCAGGGGGTTCTTGGTGCCCAGCCTGAGATTGGCAAAGGCCTGCTGAGGTGCTTGAGGCTCGAAGGTCTCCAGCCTCCTCGGAGGGTCGCCTCATTGGACGACAGATCTGTGCCAACCCCCTCGTGAGGCAAGGCTGGTCCAGGCCGTTCGGTTCAGGGTGCAGGGCTGAGACCTCTTCCAGGCTGGGAGTCTTCCCTGAGGGAGGCCACACCTCCTCACGGGGTGGGGGGGGTGTGGGCTGCCAGGACCGGTCACCCCCGAGAAGGGGTGCTGGCTGTGGGCAAGGCAGGCAGTCAGAGAACACAGCGTGTGGTCCCCTGGCCTCCTCCCCGGTGCCCCCCGCGCCGGTCCCCTTCGTGCACAGCGAGGGGACCCTGGCCTCCTCCCCGGTGCCCCCCACCCCGGTCCCCTTCGTGCACAGCGAGGGGACCCTGGCCCGCTGCTGCGTTGGCGTCCCTGTCGCAGCCGGTGTGTGTTGTGGGTGTTGACTTTGCTCTGTCCCCCTCCCGCAGCTACTGACCTCGGGTCAGCGGCAGCTGCTCCTATGTGAGACGCTGACAGAGACCGTGTACGGTGACCGTGGGCAGCTGATCAAGTCCAAGGAGCGTAGGGTGTTCCTACTCAATGACATGCTGGTCTGTGCCAACATCAACTTCAAGTAAGTGGGTCTGGGCCGTGGCCACTCTCTAGGGACCCCCTCCTGCTGTGTCCCAGTTCCCGGACCGGCCTCTCTGTGATGGGGTGCCCTCTGGGCTCGGCTTAGGTCTCAGACATTCCAGCTTCCTCTCCCAGCCCTCTCGGCCTGCTCTGTCCCCGGTCCCCGGAGCTGGGGAGCGTATGGTGGGGTCATCTGGGCCAATCCCCGGCCTTTGGGCCAACAGCTGTCCATTTGTACGGACTGGTCTGTTCTGGAACTCTGCTGTTGGTAACTGAACAGCCTCCTGAGTTTCAGCCACGTTGCAATTCAAGAACTTCCCCCCCCCCCCCCGCTCGCTGCCCAGGGCATTGTCTCCCCTATAGAGCCTGGCTGCCTCGTTCTGAGTCAGAGGTGGTGGAAATGCCCAGAGCGGGGCTTCCAGACTGTGCCGGAAAGAATCAGAGCCTGGACAGGGTGAGGGCGATTGTGCCCCGTGGGTTGCGTTAGACCTCCAGAAATCTCTTATTAGGCTCGCACCGGGAGTTCGCACAAAGACCGAGACATTTGACTTCTCTGGAAAAGTTGAGGCTCCGGCATTCTGGGCCTACACTGCCCGGGCCACTGGAGCCTGGGGCTGGGCCACGTGGCCCCCTTCCTGGGGAGGAGTCCCCACCTGGCCCACTTTACTCACTTGTGTCCCCTGCTTGGCCCTGTACGTGTCAGGGATTGTGACGGAGTGAGCTCCAGCTGTGTGACCCGTCCAGCTGTGACTCTTATCCATTCAGGCAGAGGAGGCTCTTTGCTCTCAGTATTTTATTTTATTTTTTTTTAATTTTTTTTTTCAACGTTTATTTATTTTTGGGACAGAGAGAGACAGAGCATGAACGGGCGAGGGGCAGAGAGAGAGGGAGACACAGAATCGGAAACAGGCTCCAGGCTCTGAGCCATTAGCCCAGAGCCCGACGCGGGGCTCGAACTCACGGACCGCGAGATCGTGACCTGGCTGAAGTCGGACGTTTAACCGACTGCGCCACCCAGGCACCCCCTCAGTATTTTATAACACTTTGACCAACATCAGGGCAACACCAGCATGGCAACGATCACTGAGGTCCAGAGGGAAATCGCCTGTACTCCAATGTGAATCCCGGCCCGACTCTCTTATTGCCCGCCCGCTGGAGCGCACGTGGGGTGGGGGACGCCTGAGGGGACTCACGTAGGCTCTGTACCTGGTGCAGGCACGGCCACGGAGCGGATTTGGGGACGGTCCCCATGCTTGGGGCTCACGCGCCCTGGAACGGGAGCAAGTGGGGCTGTCCTGGGACTCCCGTCACCCTCCAGCCACCCATCCATCCATCCGTTAATCCATCAGATACTTCCTGGGTCCTTGCTTTATGCCAGTTCATGGGTCTGGAGGAGAGCGGACTTGGACAGAGAAGCTTCTGTTCTAGATCAGTGTGGGTGGTGCTTACGGCTGCCTCATCCATTCCCTCCCTCCCGCTCTCCCTCACTCACTCAAGCCCTGTGATTTTTAAGGCACCATAGCCGATGAACACCTGCTCTGCCCTCCTGTGGCTCAGGGACTAGCCTGGTATGAGCTGTGACGGGGATGCTGGTGGCCCACTGTGGCAGGGAGCGTGTGGGGGGGATTTGGCGTGAGTCACATGACCTCTCTGAGCGTCAGTGTCTTTGTCTGGAATAATACAAGCTTCCAGCAGGGCCGCTGTGGCAATCACAGGTGACTAGAGGCTGGTGCCCAGCTCAGGGAGAAGGCCCCCCTGTGATCCCCGATGCCCACACCCGGCCCCGCTGTCTCAGTCCCCTAGAAGTCACTCACTAACGGTAATGACCTTCCCTTCTGTCTTGTCTTTTTCCTCAGGCCTGCCAACCACAGGTAGGGGTTTGGGGGCTCGGGGCCTTGGGGCATGTGATTCTGGATCTGGGCTGGGGCCTGGGCACCCCGGTGCTTTGGCCTCATAGGCGGGTCCCTGCTCTGCCTCGCTTGGTTCTGGCCTGAGGTCTTACGCTTGTCGCGAGGTGCCTGGCTGAGCTGGTGTGCCCTGGGCTGGCCCTGGGCCTGGGGTGCCGCGGGCCCTGCAGGGCTTCCTCTGTGTCCTGGCAGGGGCCAGCTGGAGATCAGCAGCCTGGTGCCCCTGGGGCCCAAGTACGTGGTCAAGTGGAACACAGCACTGCCCCAGGTGCAGGTGGTGGAGGTGGGCCAGGATGGCAGCTCCTACGACAAGGACAATGTGCTCATCCAGCACGCTGGCACCAAGAAGGCCTCTGCCGCAGGCCAGGCCCAGAGTGAGTACCCGCCCCGCTGCCGCCCAGGCCTGGGGGCCCTGTCTGGGGACCCCAGAACGACGGCCACTCGGCCAAGAGGCCCTTGCTGGTTTGCACGCTGCATATCCACGACCCACCTGCGCATGTGCGTCCTGCAGGCACGTCCTGCTGCGCGAGGGATGGCTGCTGGTCCCCGCCCCTACCCCCTCCAGCACGTCTGTGCCCATTCGAGCACTCGTGCGCCGTGCCCGGCGGGACTTGTACCACTACCTGGCCACTGCCTGCCTCCTCCGGGACCTCGGCAGCTGTCCCTTCTCTTTGTGCCTCATTTTGCCACTCCGTGCGGGGAAGGGCCCAGGTGACACTCACTGAGGCCCCTACATCCTCAGGGACAGGCTCGGGGCCCAAGGAGATCGAGAACGCAGAGTGTGGCCGGCAGCCTCCCAGCCCCGCGCCCCCAGCCGTCTCCATGGTGGCTGCCGTCCCTCCCTGCACCTCTGTGCCCTTCCTGTCCGTCCTCCACCCACCCCCGGAGCTGGCTCTTGCGATGCAGATCCAATCTGTGTGTGTCCCCCTCTGCTCCCAACCCACCCGTGGCTTGTCATTGCTCTCAGGGTAAAGTCCCAGGTCCTCGTGGGCTCTGTGCACCCCTCCTTTGGGCTCCTGTCCACCCCGCCCTCCCTGGGCCAGCCACACCGGGCCTCTGGGTTCCTGAGGGGCAGAGACCCCTCCGGCCACAGGGCCTTCTCCCAGGCTCTGCCTGCACAATCTTCTGCCGTTGTATTTTGGCCTAGTCTGCCCTTCCTCCTCTTAGCTCAGATAGCACCTCTGCAGAGAAGCCTTTTCTGATTCCCTTGGATGGGCAGGTCCCCTTGTCCCCTGCTCCCAGGGCCTGTTAATTTTTTTTTTTTAATTTTTTAAAATGTTTATTTGTTTTTGAGAGAGAGAGAGAGAGAGAGAGAGAGAGAGTGGGGAGGAACAGAGAGAGAGGGAGACAGAGTCCGAAGCGGGCTCCAGGCTCCGAGCTGTCAGCACAGAGCCTGACGCGGGGCTCGAACTCACAAACTGTGAGATGATGACCAGAGCCGACTGAGCCGCCCAGGCGCCCCTCTCGGGGCCCGGTTATATGGTCACCATCACTGGTGACGGTTCTGCTGCAGCCCTCGCCCCAGAGCCTGGTGTGCGATGGGGGTTAAGGGATGTTTGTCGAATGAGTAAAGGGGGCCTCGCTGCAGGGCGGGCAGAGAGGAACTGTGCCTGAGGCACCTTCCACAGGCAGGAGGCTGCTCGGCCCGACTCTGTCCTGCGCCTGACCCCGGAGGTGGCCTCACTGGGCTGCCAGCAATTCTGGAAACTTTGAGGGAGCGATGGCATCATGCGCTCTTGCCCTAGGAGGGCTGGGCTGCAGAGTCGCGCCTGCTCCCAGATTTGTGCCTCTTCCCCTGGGTTTTGTGAGCAGGAAGGCTGTTTCGCGGTTCACAGAAGCCCCCGGCGAGGGGCTCATCGGCCCCATTTGTCTTCCTCTGAGGTGCCTTTACCCCAGCTTGACTCCGCCTTACCGCTACCGCTCTGGGGCCCCCCCTTCGGTGACTTGTCCGTGGCCACATTTCGCAAACTAGAGTCATCCACGGCCAGACTCCCTGAAAGAGGGGGAAAAAAAAAAAAGAATTCTTGCTGAAGCCTCATCGGCCTCGACTGATTTTTTTTTTATTACGTTGCTATTCAAATAGGTGCACATATAAGGCTAGCTCTAATAAGCTCCTTATGCTCGTATGTCCCTTGAACAACCATAAAGCCAAAACGAAATCACAAATGGAATAAAAATGAAGCCTCAAAACAATGAAATTCAAATTAACAGCGTGAACGTGATGGATGATGTTGTTTTGCCGGAACCAAATCGCTCACGCCGTGGGCGTGGCCCTCTTCTGGGCCAGGTTCTTTTGGGTTTGTCCACACCTGCACGCACCCCAGGGCACGTGGACGGTGACCCGCACTCCCCACCGGCTCACCTGTCCGGGCCGCTGGCGAGTCTGTTCTTGCCTCTCTTTTGGTGTGAGTGCGTTACCTCCCTCCCCTGCACTCCTTGCTTCTGCTCCGTCCCTGCCTGACCACTCACTACCAGAGTCCACGGGAGCCCTGACCCCACGCAGCAAAATGCGGCTTGAAAGTCACGGTATCCGGGTGACTCAGGATGTGCATCTGGTCTTTTTTTTTTTTTTTTAATTTTTAAAAAATGTGTTTATTTACTGATTTTGAGAGAGAGTGGGAGAGAGAGCGAGCGAGCAGGCCCCATGCTGTCAGCGCAGAGCCTGATGCGGGGCTCACCCGCGAACCGTGAGATCGTGACCTGCGCCGAAAGCAAGAGCCGGGCGCTTAACCGACTGAGCCACCCAGGCGCCCCGTGGATGTGCATCTGTTTTCTTTTTCTTTTTTTTTTTTTTTAACGTTTATTTATTTTTGAGACAGAGAGAGACAGAGCATGAACAGGGGAGGGTCAGAGAGAGGCAGACACAGAATCTGAAACAGGCTCCAGGCTCTGAGCCGTCAGCCCAGAGCCCGACGCGGGGCTCGAACTCACGGACCGCGAGATCATGACCTGAGCCGAAGTCGGCCGCTTAACTGACTGAGCCACCCAGGCGCCCCATGGATGTGCATCTGTTTTCTAGATAGTCATCTAAACCCCCAGATAAGCCCTCCCCTGGGATTCCATAAGACCTCAGCTTGAGGAACCATGGCCTAGAGGCTACAGCCCACATTCCCTGTCTCCGCATTCAAGGATTTCCCCACGTGGCCCCAGTACTTACCACGTGTGTGTGATCACCAGAGGTCTGGACACCCTCACCGTCCCCGCGCCCTGATGTCTTTCTCCCTAGTGCCTTCCATCATTGTTCTTAATTGCTGTTAATTGGCTGCTGCCCCTGTCCCCCGTCACTTGGTTCATAAGCTCCACGAGAGCCGGGACCCTATCTGTCTGCTTTGCAGCTACGTCACCAACACCTGCAAGAGAATCTGGCACCAGTAGGTCCCTGGCACATCTTTGAACAACTTGCCCTTTCTGGGTTTCCTCCAGCCACAGTGCCTTTGTACGTGCCGTTCTCCTTTCTGGCCGTGCCCGTCGCATCCCCAGCCCCGTGAAGGTTCCTCACCGCTTGCAGGCACAGTTGGGTCTCGATCTCCTGGCCTCCTGTGACCCTTTGAATGTGGCCCGGACCCTAGGTGCTAAACCACCTGTGGTGACATCTGTGCCCCTAGTAGACTAGGGGCTCCACCGGGGCAAGAGCCTGGTAATGCTTCTGTATCTCTAGCGCCATATCTCCGGGGCGACAGGTCTTCTTCTCCTGTGCGGTGAGTGGACGCTTGGGTCCTTGTTGGCACCTTCTCCACCCCTGAAGTTGAGTTGGGTCTCTTCTCCGTCCAGATAAGGTGTATTTCGGCCCCCCGCGCCTCTTCCAGGAGCTGCAGGATCTGCAGAAGGACCTGGCTGTCGTAGAGCAGATAACCTTCCTCATCAGCACGCTGCACGGCACCTACCAGGTACGCAGCACTGGCCCGGCTTCGTTGGGCTCCGGGCAGCGCCCAGACTCAGCAGGCAAAGTGGGAGAGGGCTCCTGTCTTAGCCCAGGCCCCAGGCATGCTCCTGGCTTCCGAATTCCCACAGGCAGCACGAGTGGCCAAAGCTCCCCGTGGCTCCCTGGAGGTCTGGTGTGCGGCCTCTGGTTTGGGTGGAGGTTCTGATTCGGATTGAGTGGGGGCTGGCTGTGTGGTGACGTTTTTCTTCTCTGCACGATGACTAGTCCATCTAGCAACCCCTTCCTGGACCTCAGCCCGGGCTGGAGAAGAAGCCGGCTGGGAGGTCGTGTCCCTCTCAAAGGAGGGGTGCCAGGTGGGGTCTGAACCCCGGGCTGGGGGAGCTTACTCGGGGTCTGCAGCGGGGAGCCGGTCACCCACTATGGCTGAGCGGGTGGCCCCTGTCGAGCTCTCGGACCTCCCGGCTCCTGTCCCTCTGGGCACCCTGAATGCTGCAGGGTCCTGTGTGGCTTTTGGGGAGCCGGCCGGCTGTGTGGTGACCTCGCTGGCCTCCTCAACCCTAGAACCTGAACATGACCGTGGCTCAAGACTGGTGCCTGGCCCTGCAGAGGCTAATGCGGGTGAAGGAGGAGGAGATCCACTCGGCCAACAAGTGCCGTCTCAGGCTCCTGCTTCCTGGAAAACCTGACAAGTGAGATGGGGAGTGGACAGCGCTGAAAGGGGGGTGCTCCCGAGAGGCGGCACCTGGAGCCGATCTGCTTATCAGGGTGGTGACGGGTGACGGGTTTGTGCACACCGTGGGCCCTGCCCAGCACAGCATTTGGCGCGGAGTGGGTGCTCCTTGTGGAATGAACGCGTGAACGAACGAATGAATGACGGATTCGTACTTGGGCCCGTCCTCTGCTAGGAGACTGAGGACTCAGACCCTCTGCTGTCGGTTGGCTCTGTTTGTGCGGTGACCTTGTCACTCACTTCAGACTGTGCAGAGCCCCGGGACCGGGCCCTGGGTCTCCTCTTGGACCGAGGCTGGGTCTCCGGCCTCCCCCCAGATGCCCACACAGGCGCTGGGGTTCCCTAGACCCTCCGCTGATGTTTGTGGAATTGATGACAGATCTAGCAGAGGTGAGGAAAGGTATCTGAGCCCCATTTTGCAGATGAGGGTGGCGAGGCCCAAAGAGCTGTCGGATCGCCCCATGGCCACAGAGTAGGCGGTCGAGCCAGGCTCCGACGGGCTCTGGCTCTGAAGCCTGGGCTGGCACAATGAGGGGCCCACGGCCTGCGTTTGACCTCGAGGATGAGGGGACGGTGGGGGACAGAGGGTTCCAAGCACACTGGCTGCATGGAGAGGGAGCACTGTCGTTCGAGGGAGGGCCACCAGCCCTGGAGCCCAGGAGACGAGGCTCCAGGCTAGGGTCTCAGAGGCAGAGAGGCAGGGCCCTGAGCCGTAATCCCAATCTGCCACGCCCCTGCTGAGTGGCCTCTCGCAGCCCCTTCCTGCCCCCGCACCCCTTTCTCTGTGCGGAGTTGGTGACACTAGCCTTGCCTGCCTCCCGGGATGGCTCCTGGCGGAGAGCCTGCCCCAGAGGACTCTGAGGGCGCTGCTCCAAGGTGAGGGGACAGTGTTGTGACAACAGCGGCCCCTAGCTGCCCAAGCCTGGGCACAACCTCATTCATTCCCGGCTTCATTCACTCGTGCGTCCATTCCACAAATGTCTGCTGGATACCCACACTGTGTCTGGTCCTGGGAGTCCGAGAGGGCCCTTTCCTGCCTGCACGGGCTCCCGGTCGGACATGCTCGTGTGTCTGACAGGCCCGTGGAGAGCTGACCGGGGAGCCCGGGCAGGGCAGGTGCCGGAGGCTGGGCTGCGGAACGCGGCCTGATCGCTTTGGGGAGGGACCTCCATTCTGGGGCCACGGTGGGTGGAGGGACCCCTCCCCCAGGAGACCTCGGCTTTGCCGGCCGCCAGCCTTTCTGGCCACCCTTCGGTGCTCCGAGCAGAGTCAGTGCTGCTGCGAGTGCGTGTGGTCGAGGGAAGAGCTGGGTGCTCGCTGTGGACACTCACTCACGCTCGTCACCCTCTTGCCGCAGATCTGGCCGCCCCATCAGCTTCATGGTGGTCTTCATCACCCCCAACCCCCTGAGCAAGATCTCCTGGGTCAACAGGTTGCACCTGGCCAAGATTGGACTCCGTGAGTAAAGGCCCGGGGAAAGGGCCCAGGAGACAGGAATGCGGAGCCGGGAGGCCTGGGTGTGTGTGTGTGTGTGTGTGTGTGTGTGTGTGTGTGTGTGTGCGCGCGCGCGCGCATGCACGTGGGGGCGGGGGGCTTCTGAGTTGGAGGGAGGTCGTGCGGTGGAGAAATACCGGAGCCAGTTCTGAGCGCTGAGGCTTTGCCTCGTAACCCTGGACAAGCCACTGCTCCTCTCTGAGCCTCAGTTTCCCCATCTATCAAGTGATGGCAGTTCACCATATAAATGACCTCGGGGAGGGCGGTTGGAGCGTGGCTGCTGAGGGGGTTTCTTTTGGTGGGGGGGGGGTGACGAAAGTGTTCTAGAAATAGGTAGTGGTGATGGTCGCTCCACTCATCTCGTGCTAGAAACCAGTGACGTCAACGCTAGAGAAGGGCGGTTTCGTGGCCACCCCCTTCTGTGTCAGTAAAGCTGCTACCAAAAGAAAAACGCCACACGGTGCGGGTGAGATTAAACTGATTCTCAAGCAGGACCTCCTTGTGATCTCTTTCTCCTACTCCCCCTGCGATAATCACGTAGGTAAATACCAGACATGTGTGGACAGCGTTTCCTCTGGGGCATTTTCTGCGCATTTTACACACATCTCTTTCATTTCACACTGACGATGACCCTAGGAGGCAAGTCTGTTGTGATCCCCCTTTTACCGGAGAGGGTTCTGAGGCCCAGAGAGGGCCAGTGACTTGCCCGAGCTCACCTAGAAGGAAGGGGCCGAGCTGGGGTTCAGACCCTGGGCCCTCGGCCCCCAGAGCCCAGTCTGGACCGTTGTCTCTCTGCCTTCTCACGTTGGAGAGTTTCTGTCTGCAAAACACATCTGTTAAGTTGTCATTACTTTCTTTGTCCTCGTTTTGAATTGACAAAAGGCCTGGGTCCTTGTCATTCAGCACTGCCATATCCTGTGACGCACTAGCCTTCCTATTTGCTGCCTCCGGCCGGTAGCAAGGACATTTTTGTTGTTGTTGTTTGCTTTTTCATTGTTGGTTGTCGTTTCTAGTGATCTTTTTCTAGGCTTTGAAACATTTCTGGGAAGAGGTTAGGACCTTTGTCACTGGCTTTCATCAATTCAAAAATCTTGAGTGAGTCTTTACTGTGAGTTTAGGCCTGGGGGGAAAGAGCGGTGACGAAAACTGAAAGATCTCTGCTGTCAAGGAAACTATAATTTATGAGGGGCAGACAGATATTACACGAGGGGCAAATCAACAGGGGGAGGCGGTGCTGTTTAGGGGACACAGCTGGGCGGCATGACGGTCACCGAGCCTGGGCGCCAGGGCTGCCGTCAGGGAGGGCCTCTGAGGAGGCGACATCCGAAGCCGAAGCAGTCTAGGCTTCAGAAGAGCAAGTGCAAAGGTCCTGTGGTGACCAGAGCTGATGAGTGATGGGGAGAGAAGCAGGCAGGTGGAAGAAGGGGCCGCATTTCCAGAACACCAGGGCCAGGTGCGTGGAACTTAAACTCTGGATGGGACGGGTGCCGTTCCTCATGGCAGTGAGAGCTGGACAGCCCCCTGAACTGGGTTCCACTTGAGTGGATCACTCTGCCTGCTGGGCCCAGAGGGCATGTGGAGGCGGGAGGGAATGGGGAGGAGATGGTTGCGCTGGGGGAGCCAGTCCCTTCTTGGATCTGTTGCTGATGCAACAGGCCTCCGCAGGCCTCCGCTGGATGTTTCTGGGTGACCAGGAGGGCTGCGGAGGGAGGAGAGAGGATTTCAAGCAGAGCCAGCCCCGCTGTGGGAACGCTCGCCCCAGGAAGGCTGACGTGACTCCCCCGCAGGCCCGCGGAGCACTTTGGGAGCACTTTGGTCTCGGGCGCGCCTGAGCCGATTTTGCACCTGCTCTAAAGGCGGGTCAGTCTCCTGCTGCTTTGCTGAGTGGGGCTTGGGCTTTGGCGTTGGAGGGAGACGGGCTGAACGGGGTGAGCCTCTCCTTTCTCGGCTGCCTGTGACGCTCAGCCGCTTTATCTCCACGCGGTTTCACTGCAGCAAAAGTTTTAATGGAAGGAGAGTCATTTGAAATCTTATTTGAAAGCCTGGGTTCCCCTGGGGCTTGAATAATTTGTTCCTTTTATTTTGCCAGTTTTTTTTTTTTTTTTTTTTTTTTTTTTT